CTTGGCGGTTAGACCATTGACCACGCGTCCTCGAGAGGACGGAGCGTTGTTCTACAGGACCGATCACTGGTTGCCAAGCGTTCCTTCCTACTTTGCCAAAGGTGGATAAAAAATGCCTTCCCTAGTCCATTTATCCTATCGATATCACTTCCCGCCTTTTTAACCCTCTTCCTATGGTGACGGGAGGAGGTGGGGTTAAAACGTACCCAATCCTACTTTCGAACTTGTTGTCGATTTTCAGCGTACTTCATGAGATTTGGACGAAGTTCTTGCTGAAGGCATCTGTTCCGGGGGCTGAATACAATGTGTCACCTGATTTTTGGGCAGGCACGAAGGACCCTTAGAATGAACCACGTGTCTACGCCCGCGATGAAAACTTAATACAGGAGAGGGAGAATTTGGCACGATAAGTTTTTGGCCCATTCGTGGTTTGCGGAAGAGAGGGGTTACAGCTCACGTTTTGATGGCAACTGGGTCGCTGTCTGTCTGTCTTTCTGTGTATGACAAAAGGGAGTACTTCAAGTACTACTAGGTTTGTTGTTTTTTGTGAACGGGACGAAATAGATATAGGTGTTGCTCGGTAGCGCACCCTTTCTTTACGTATGTTCACGCTTCGTGCGAAGTACGTGTCCAGTCCTCTTGGCTATTGCTGCACAGCAGCCTGCAAAATTCTTGTGGATTAGGTGGAGAACAACCATTAGTACGTGTTCCACACAGAGTCATCGAGCCATCTTTGGTTTTGTGGAAGACGAGCGCAAGAAAGACAACTTTGTGGGCGAATAGGCATGCAGTGTATCCAATGCGTAGGGATCTGATTGCGTTGGTTGCCATTTCATGCACTACATGCCAAAAAGTAGTCTCGTCTGCGGGTGTTGCGTGTGACTGCAAAGGGAGTATTGGTGGGAAAATAATAACAAGTGGTGTAGATGTAAGCAGTACTTAGTTGGCCACACATGCACGTGACGGGGAATGAATGCGATCACCTCTCGTACCTCGCGCGTGGAGTTTGTAGGTGGTGGACATCCTGATTCGTGTTTTTGCTAGGAGTAGCTCGACGTCCTGGTAATAGGTGAAATCGACTGACGACGTATCTACGAAGAAAAGTTGCCGGCGCTTGCAAGCAAAACTCCCTTACGGCTATATAACAGCGCGGGAATCTAGATTTTTGGTGGTAGTCGACCTTGTGTTTGGTGACGAGTATGTCACACGCCGCTCTGATCGTGGCCACGCATATTCACGGGCGTGCTGCCCGATACAACCGGCGGATTAACACACCACTCTGTAGGATAGGGAAAGTCTGCCCGTGGTTGTGCAACAAGGACTTTAGCCCGAGCCCAATGCCCTGCGGTGGATGTTGAGTCGAACGACCTCTTGTAGCGGCGGCGGGGCCGAAATCTTTTGGTACACTCATCAACGCCTCAACTAACCTCGTACTCTGCGGTTAGTTGAAGGGAGTCTTGATCTTTTCGTGCTGCTCTTTTGGTCGGAATCACACACCACATTGTCAGACGAACCGAGTGGTACGATGCTCGACCAACTTTTTTTCGGTCTATCATTGTTGGGGTTTCTCTCCCACATACGGTACGACGTTTGTATTTGTGCCTCTCATTATGCCATCACTTTCTTCGCACATGCTTGTCTACGTTTCCGCTCTGTGGTTTCGCCAGTACGCTCTCTTGTTTCCGACGCGAAACCGGACGCCCGGTGAACCACGTATGTTCGCCGAAAATATCAAGCAGCGGGCAAGCATGCGCACGCACAATCCGGGTGACATTCCTCTCATCATTAAGTCTACAACCTTGCTTGCTTTCGCACCAATATAGGCCCACGAAATCAGCTACGTTTCTTGTCATGCCGCAATCCGCTTCCTCCACTAGGTTGGTGCTCTACAGTACCTTTGCTGGCTTGCACGCGTTTTTTTTTCCTCGGGCTGTCCTATGCAACGCGTACACAAATATACCCGCCAAGGACTCTTTACAACCAAAAACTCCTAACAAGATGCAGACCACTTGAGAACTCCTTTTTTCAATAGAAATATTTGCGGATTTGGCTGCCCGATGTTTTCGCTCTCTCGGCCTGGTTTTCGCATCAATTCCCTGAGATACTTCGTCAACAAAGCACAGAAAAAAAGACAAAACAAAGCTGAGCCGTAACATACATCGCAGAAGCAATATTCTAAATAAAATCAAAACGGAACATGATCACCAGCCTGAAAGTTGGGCGAGCCCCGAAAGAGCGCGACCTACCTACTCTCTTTCTCCAACTTCTTGCCCCTCCCCTTTCTACTAGCACTATGGACAGATCTCCATCCATCACAGCCCCCTCCCCCCCCTCCCCCGGCCCGCGCAAGCCATGCCTCCACCTAACACGAAAACAACACTCGTGGCAGCAGCAGCAGCAGCAGCAGCAGCAGCAGCGTTCCTAACCATGATAGACCAATTGCACAAAGAAGGGAGCTGCGCTCTCACAAAAAAGCGCAGCAGCAGCAGCAGCACCCACGACGTGTTCACTTCTTCTCCGGGAGCGCCGGGTCGATCGAAGGCGCCCTGCCCAGGACCGCCCTCGCCCAGATCACGCAGATCGAGAGGGTCCCGTACGACAGCCCCACCACCACGCCCGCGTCCACGATGGACCTCCACGGGTACGGGAGGCGCTTAACCATCTGCACTAGGCACAGCACGCCCGCCGTCAGCGACCAGCTCACCGTCTTCCTCTTTTTCGTGGCGTGGAAGAGGCCCATGCTGTACGGACCGGCCAGGAGCAGCCGGAGGGGCCCCGCCCGCCGCCGCCGCTTCTGCCCGCCGTCCGCCGCCGGGGCCGCCGCCGCTGCTGGGTCGAGGGTGAGCGCGCGCTTCACCACGAGCGGGGAGAACTTCTGCTGAAAGCCCTTGAAGCCTTCCGCGTACGCCATGATAGCCGAGAACCCCGCGTACATGGCCCACTGCACCGTCGTGAAGTCTCCCTGTGGTGTTTTGCGGGGGGGGGGGGGG